AACACAAATATGCCCCAGTGTTATTGTGGATTCAATTCCTGACCATCAACTTTCCAAAAAAATGCCCAGTGGTCTTTAAATATGTTTACACCCTTTAACCGCGTGTGCACTTTTATTAGTCAAAAAAGTTTGAAATGCTGTGGGTGTAACTCGAGCAGTGTACAATACAGTGCTGTTCTGAGAGCCACTAATGCATCTATTTAACCTTGAAATAGGCACTTTGAAAGCAAGTTCGGATGAGTCAAAGTGAAAACAATGTGTTTTTGTGAAACTCTTTTTTTAAGAGTATATGTCAGGACATAAGTTTTACTCTTTCTTGAAAATGTTTCATTTTTCTTTGGCTGGATTTGAAGAGCCATTGTGTTATTTTCTAACAAGTTTCATTTTTCATCTTCTCACTCAGCCACTCTGTGTAAAGACACCTAGTCTTACCCTTACAAAAGAGTGGAACTTTCATTTCATACAGTAGCCTTCGTGGAGTGCTTGGCATTCACACTTAAATGCATTTATGCATTGTTATAAGAGCACTTGAGTTTTAGTGTCTATTGTTTTACTTTGCAAACACTCCTACAGCAATATCCAGATATTTATTGAACATTACTAAGTGGAACTACAAAGCATTTGTACCCTTAGTTCAAAACATATTTGTACTTTATTTTTATCTTGTATCTTTATTTTATTTATTTTTTTATATGTGTACCTTCATCTCTGTGAGATGCACATCAGGGATTTTGTGTTTAAAGACATCAGTGGTAACTAATAAACACATTATCTGTTATCAACATAATGTTTTGAATTAATGTTACTGAAAGAATCTCTTATGCTCACCTAAGGCTGCATTTATTTGATCACAAATACAGTAAAAACAGTAATACTGTGAAATAGTATTGCAGTTTAAAATAACTGTTTTCTATCTTAACCTAAAATGTACAGTAATTTATTCCTGTGATGGCAAAGCTGAATTTTCAGCAGCCATTACTCCAGTCTTCTTCTTCTAATAATAATAATTAAAAAAACACATTATTATTTGTGAATATTTTGTTTTTAAAGTATTTTATTTTCAGGATTTCTTGATAAATAGAAAGTTCAAAAGAACAGCATCTATTCGAAATATTTTTTTAACATTTTAAATGTCTTTACTCACTTTTGATCAGTTGAGCAGTACATTTTATTTTTTTAAAAAACATCTTTTCAGTTTCCCCATACTTTTGAATGGTAGTGTATATTGTAGATGTGCTGTGAACCTCTCCAGCAGCTGGTGGGGATGTAGATGAAGTATTTCAGGTTTATTGTCTTTGTCTCTGTGTATGAAAGAATCACAAAGAATCACACATCACAGCTTCAAATGTCAGATGTAAATCCATGGTGAACTGTAACTGTTTCTGAAGGGCTGATCCTCCAACTAGAGCTGGCAAGCTCAAGATCATACACATTAAAGCCTGGCAAACAACGGGGGTGGAAGTTCATTATAAACACCCCGCCATTCCTACACCAAACATATGGACTCAGGGGTGATGTTTACCTGCTTGAAAGAAGGAACTGCTTTCACTTCTAAAGAAATGCTGGCTTTTAGTCTTTTCATGGACTCTGACATTTAATGCACTTCATAAGAAGTTATCTTTTTTCTTCTTCTTCTTTATTACAAACCGAACATCTGGAGTAATGTTTGAAACGGAAAAATATCCAATCAGAGTGAATTTGCTTGTGGTCTGACCTCGGCCAGGCTCCAACACCAGCACACTGTGGGCATGTGTCCGCTCAGCCATTATCTAATGTAGCTGATTGCCAGTTCTGTCTTCTAGACCTTCGAGCGTCAGACTCTGTGAATAGAACGAGGTGTGTTTGTGTATGTTTTTCCTGGACTCTATCAAGTCCACATGCGTCCGCATGGGCACCAGACATCTTCCTATGAACTCTGGCTCTCTTAATATTCCCTTCAGTCATTGACCTGAAACATGCGTTAAGGTAAAGAAAATGTTTAGTGCAGCAATATGATGGGATTAAATACTACCATCATTCACAAATAAATATAACAAAACATTTCACGTAAAAGGTCCATTTAGCCTTTCTCTGATTTGGGGGTTTATTTCCTTTGGCTCTGAAGGTCTGCATTTCACATAGTTTTTCTTTCTTCCAGAATAATTAGTCTTTTGCGGTGCTCAAGAGTAAAATATACGAAGTGCTGTAGACTGCTTGCCAAAGTCAACTCCATGAGCAGTTTGTGGAGGAACACTAGAACATTTGTAGGCTGTAAACTCACAGGGAGACGGTGTCTGAACTTCAGAACGCCAAACGTTTGGCCTCATCCTCACACCCAGTCTAAAAAAGACTGACGTTTTAATCATAACGTTAGTCGTAACTTAGCTGATATGCCTCTTCTTTTGTTTTCATTACCCTGATCAGGCTGCACTGCGACGTATCGTTGTACGCACTCTTTTGTTTTCGATCGCAGCCTACGTGGATTGTGGTCCGCTTTTCAAACAGTTGTCCACCATACGGTGCCCAGATTCAAGAGCTTAATTGAGTATTTGTTTAATCAGTGCCTGTGCCCGAAACAAAGCATTTATTTTTAATTAGAGCCGAAAAATGTTTCTGACTTTTACGAGACATTCAAATTAAAGAGAGTGGCTGAAGTCAGAACGTTTACAGATACCGTATTCTCCAGAAAATAAGTTGCACCTGATTGTCACATTGTATTATTATATTCAGAAATAATGTAAAATGCCAATAATTATAAAATAATAAATAAAAGAAATATAAACCATTTAGTTCCCCTTACTCCACTACAAATCCTTTGAATTTAATGGTATTTAGAACAAAACAGGAATGGTAATTATAAGTATAAAACAAACATAAATTATAGTGGCATTCAGTATGAACAGCATTTATCATAAATGGCAGGTGTAAACAAATTTATTTCAAATGAAACTACCGGCATGTGGGAAATATGCTATACAAATAAACTTGGGTTCATGCACCACTTCCATTTATCTCTCATTAATTCAATTATATAGGTCACTTTGGAATATGTTACAGCATGTTTCAGAGGAAGAAAAAAATCTTGACATCCTATGTTCAAGACTCTTTACTGTAGAGCTTGATTATTGCATTTATTTTAAAGCCATCCTCTACTATAAAATCACTAGTATTTGGACCCCTAGACATCTGCGGTTTTATTTAGGTTTCATTTTCGAGGCACACAGTAATGTGCTTGATTTGTGTATGTTGTCTTGTCATTTGCTCTCTGTGGGAAACGAAGCATAGCAGTGATCTCATATTGTTTGTCTGTTCCTTTGTGTACTCTTCCTGCAACTCTGAAGCAATAATATGCAAATCCATTCTGGTCTCTTGATCTCGGTTTATTAATTCCTGTTTCTTTTGTTTGTTTGCTTGTCTGTTTGTTTTGGACTGTTTCTCTTTGGTCCTTTGAAGCTGGTTGGGGAGAAAGCCATCATACTGAAACGATACACAACCAAAAATGAAAGGAAACATTCTGAGTAAACAAACAGTAGAAGAGACAGATGAACATGATAGAATAACTAAGACAGTGAATCTGAAATGATGAGCCGTATCATTGTGTCTAGTCATAGTCAACAGTCTAGACCCCACACTACTGCCGACCAGCAAGCACCAAGCGGATATTGTAAACACATGTGCTTTTCCCGTCAGGACCCCTGTCCCTACTGAATGCTGAAGGCTCTTTCCCAGAAACAAATTCTACTTTGGCATAAATCTCAGTCAGTCTTGCCCTTGTTTCCTCCTGTGGTTGACCTGTTGAAAACACTAGGACTGGGAGATAAATTGAATTTGCTGGTTTTGTTGGTGATTTATAAAATTAAGCAACATGTGCTTTTTATATACTCATTAAGTTTCCTAAAACCTCGTTAGACTAGTTTTGTGATCTGACAGATGTTTTAATAGTCTCTGATTTAAAGTAGCAAAAAGTTCAAACTTTTCAATTAATTCAAAATTTGTCTTCAACAATTTATAACTCAATATATATATATATATATATATATATATATGTGTGTGTGTGTGTGTAATATTTTTAATAATAATAATAATAAGTAAAAGATATAATCAGTTAAATGTTTTATAAATACTGTAAAGTTAATGTTAAAATATGAACTGTTAAAAGTGTAAATTCAGAAATATTGAGATACACACTACTGTTCAAAAGTTTGGAATCAGTAAGATTTTTTTAAATAAATTAATAGTTTTTCTTCAGCAACGATGTATTAGAATGACCAAAAGAAACACAATAAATAAATAAATAAATTAAATAATAATAATGTATTATGGTTTCCACAAAAATATTAGGCATAACAGCTGTTTTCAACTCTGATAACAATAAAGGTTTTTGACCACTAAATCAGCATATTAGAATGACTTCTGAAGGATCATGTGACACTGAAGAGTAATGGCTTCTGAAAATTGCTTTGCCATCACAGGAATAATTACTGTTGTTACTTTAGTTGTTACTTATTTGTTCAAATGCATGCAGCCATGGTTAGCATAAGAGCCTTTCAAAAACAAAAATCCTACTGGCCCCCAAATTTTTGAATGGTAGTGTAATTTAAATCTTGTCAAAATGCTTAAATTATATATATATATATATATATATATACACACACTGTGTATTCTTGACTTTCTATAACTTTCTATAAGATTTACTATGAAGACCTAATTACGAAAAATTGTAGCACACTACCTCTCCCTTTCTGTACAGTGGGATCTTTAAGTAAAGTTCTTAGGTATTACACAAGAATCTGACCGAGGCCCTTTTTTGGAAGTTGATTGGTCCACGTGAGGAAACGGCTAATTCCATTAGAAGAAACAAGATGCTAACTAAGTTTACTAGCCACAAATATGCAGCTGCTGTTTTTCTTTTACACATCCTCCGGCTGCAAAAGGAGAATAATTACACAGCAGCAAAAAAGCTGATATAAAACCCAGCTATAACTTTGCTCACCTTTTTGTTTGTTTTCTCTCTCTCTCAGATCAACCTCAGGCACGGTCTACGCCCATACACCCCGCACTGCCTAACTCAGCCGAATCGGCAGCGCTGCTGCGGAGAGACAGCAAGCCGCACAGCGATGGGGTCAGAAACGGAACCTTTTCACGAGCCGCCTCGTCATCCTCCTCGTCTTCATCCACAGCCCATAAAAACCCCGAGAAACTGCAATCGAACCCATCCATCAACAGTCAGAGCAGCAAGAGGAGCAAAGGAAGCTCCAAATCCAACAGCTCCCAGATCCCCACCGAGGCCCAGGATGGTGAGTCAGACCTCACTGCACATTAGCCCTGATTGTTTGTACACACTTTCTTTCATTTTCAGGAAGTTTGATGGACACAGATAAACATCCCTAGACAGTGACGTTTTAGTTGTGACTAACTATCTGTGCTTCATCCAGATTGCTGTGTCCACTGCATCCTGGCCTGTCTGTTCTGCGAGTTCCTCACACTGTGCAACATCGTGCTGGACTGCGCCACATGCGGCTCCTGCGCATCAGACGACTCGTGCTTCTGCTGCTGCTGCGCTTCAGAGGAATGTGGCGACTGCGACCTGCCCTGTGACATGGACTGCGGCATCATCGACGCGTGCTGCGAGTCTGCAGACTGTCTGGAGATCTGCATGGAGTGCTGCGGGCTGTGCTTCTCCTCCTGAGACTCCTGTAGGGGGCGCTGCCTCTTTCACTGATTTGGGACCTGAGAAGAAATGAGCAAAGAATGACATCTGATGATCTGGAGTTGTGAGTTGGCTTTCTTTTGAACTGTCTTGCTAGGAGAAGGGTTAGTCATCCTACACTAGTGGTGTTATTCTGCAGTTGTCTTTATACATATGAACTCTATCTGGGCTGGTTTTTGCGTAAAATCTTTTGTTGAGTCTGCATTGGCATGATGCGGAATACAAATACATCCCAAAGACTTAAGAGGCCACTGAGAAAAGCCAAAAAACGTTCAAAAATGTCAGTATTTGTTAGTTATTTCAAATCGTCTTAGTGCCAAACTTTTGATAAATGCACAATCCACAGCCATCCAGTGGTTTAGGAATTTCGCAATGATGCACACCATAAAAGAGCTTGAATTGCAACTCAGATCTGTTGTCTCCTAAAAAGGAATACATATCCAAAGATCACATACACAATCAAAACTACCGCTATTTTGCAATGTTAATCCCAAATATCACCTCTCCATATATGCACACTTACTGTAGTACACTGGTGTAGTCCTTTGAGGATTACAAAAGCCATAAACTGTGAGTGTGAAACTCATAGATGTATGCGAGTGGGAGAAAGACGTGTGTATTTAATATATGGTGCCATACTACAGTTGTATCATAGATTGTATATAAACGTGAAAAGAATCCTGTCACTCTCTACATTTGGTCCTGTGATGTTCTTATTCTCACTCTTTCACTCATCAGTCAATCAATTTTCTTATATACTGGAATATTATACTGTAAGCGGTTGTGAATTGCGCCGTATTTTTTCCAATGTGAAATATCTGTTTCGTAATTCCAATACTTTCCATTTAAATCAGTTGTGTGTGAATCTAAATGTAAAATTTATGTATCTACCTATTATTTTATTGTTTTAGTGTTAGCAGTATTATTTTATCCTTTCAAAAAAAAAAAACAGGATTCCTTACTGTCTACATCTAGAGCAGCACATGACTTCAACACCCCATAACCCAAACCATAAACCGTACATAATCATCTCACAGAATGATGGTAAAAAGCAGTGCATTGATTTGAATTGTTTACATTTTAAGGACACATCTCTATTCTTGCTTGGAGGTAGACAGGATACGTTTTTAACTGGACAAGACTGTACAGCAATGGAATAAAAGAACAGGATAAAATAAATCTATTACTGTTATATTTGGTGTTTTTTATAGCAAAGAATCCTATTTTCTGGTATTCAAACCCCAAAATGTATTCAAGGCAATGGTTTGCATTATTTAAATCGAGTTAAATCTTATTTTATTAATTAAAATGTTAAAAAAAAACTAAAAATAAAGATGTACAACATTAAGCTGTCACCATATTTTTGAGTTTAATTACAACACAAGTACCAGAAGTACATAAAAAAAAGGGAGCTTTGGAGTCAAAAAGGTTGAGAACCACTGATCTAAATGGTCTATCACTGGTAGCAACTGATTTTGGTTGGGGGTATAAGGAACATAGAGATATTCAAATTCCTGCGTCTTCAGAATGTAATTTGTGCCTTAGACATACTCATAGTATTGCTAACATGCCTTCTTTGGAGTTCTCTACACACTGCGGGCTCTTTATATGCCTCAATCTTGCATACTTTATTTAACGTGTGTACCTCTGAGAAGCTGTGTAGAATACTGAGGTCGTGGCATCACTTATTGTTCTAGGACAGCCGTGTGCTGTTTGTTAGCTCTCTACAAGATGCTTCTCCTTTATGTGATTTGCATAGTATGCCTGCTATGTGCTGAGGTCGTGATGATATACTGCGCAAAGGTTTTGCATATATCATCAAAGCTTTTGATGCACCACTACGCCTTATATTGTGTTGAAATGTCAGCTAATCATCTCAC